TTATATATATATATATATAGATACAGGGATAGATATATATCTTTATATATATAGATACAGATATAGATATAAACATAGATATAGATATGTATATATATATAGACAGATATAGATATATATCTTTATATATACATATATGTATATATATGTATATAGTTATAAAGATATATATATTTCCTTTTCTCTTTTGCTCTCTCTTTGTCTGTAAGAATAATATATATAGATATATACTATAAACACCTATATATATAAATATATATATATATAATGTATATATATATATATTTGCTTATATAAATATATGTATATATATACATCTGTTGGTGTAGGATGTAGTTAGAGTATTTCTCTTTGAAAGGAGACGACAGATTGCTGCTGAAAAAATATATTTATTAATAAACATAACAGCAGCAAGCCTAGCAGCAGCAAATCTAGCAGCAGCAAATCTAGCAGCAGCAAACAGCAGCAGCAAGCCTGGCAGCAACAAACCTAGCAGCAGCAAACAGCAGCAGCAAGCCTATCTTTACGTCTGTTCTTTTGTTTTTTTCTTTTATGCATGCATAAAGCAGAGAGACATCAACTGTATATTTTAAATATATATACATTTGATATTTTACTATAAATAATATTATATAATATAATATTATTTATAGTAAAAGAAAGCTGCAGCTACCCCCTGATGTCTCTGTAAAGAGACAGTAAAAATACAGCAGCAGCAAATATTAATACAGAGGAGACATCAAACTGTCTCCTCTTGTCTTTGTTTTATTTTGCTGCTAAGACTTCTCTACTAAATAAATATAAATATATATATATATATATTTATATACATATATATGCATATATATGTATATATATAGAGACTGTCTCTGTTGGAGACAGTCTCTATCTCTATTGTAGACAGATAGAAATAGAGACAGAGACAGTCCTATAGACATTTGGCTGTCTCTGTCTGTCTCTATCTTTGTTAGAGACTGTCTCCAACTCTATCTCTGTTAGAGATACTCTTTATCGCTGTTAACAACTGTCTTTGTCTCTGTTTCTATCTCTCTATCTCTGTCTCTCTGTCTCTGTCTCTGTCTCTCTGTCTCTCTATCTCTGTCTGTCTCTGTCTCTATCTCTGTCTCTGTCTCTGTCTCTCTCTCTCTGTCTCTCTGTCTCTCTGTCTCTCTGTCTCTGTCTCCGTCTCTTTGTCTTTATCTCTGTCTCTCTGTCTCTGTCTCTCTGTCTCTGTTTCTGTCTCTGTTTCTTACTGTCTCCGTCTCTGTCTCTTTTATGTGTCTGTCTGGTGTATATCTTTCTGTGTTTGTCTCTCTTTATTATTCTAAATATGCGGGTGTTGCTGCTGCTGCTTCATAACTCGCTGGCTTCGCCAGCAGCAGCTGTCTCTTTCGTTTGCTGCTGCTCTCTCCAGAGGAGACAGGCATTTGCAGCAACGCCCGTGCTGCTGGTGCTGCTGTTGCTGCTGCTGGTGCTGCAACAACTCTATCTCTAGCAGCAGTTGCTAAGCGAACAACTGCAGCAGCAGCAGCACCTGCTGCTGCAGCAACAGCTGCTGTAGCAGCAGCAGCACCTACTGTAGCAGCAGCACCTGCTGAGCGAACAACTACAGCTGCAGCACCAGCTGCTGCAACAGCAGCTGCAGAAACAGCAGGTGCAGCTACAGCAGCTGCTGCAGCAACAACTACAATAGCACCACCAGCAGCTTCAGCACCAGCCGCTGCTGCAGCACGAGCAGCTGCTGCAGCGGCTGCAGCAGCTGCAGCAGCAGCAGCAGCAGCAGCAGCAGCAGCAGCAGCAGCAGCAATTAGACAGAGTAGAATTCGAAGTCTCTTTCGTGTTTGCGTACGTGAGTCTTCCAGCCCTTCTCAAAGTCCTTTGTCAGCACCACATATCTGCAGCAAAAAGAGCAGCAGCAGCAGCAGCAGCAGCAGCAGCAATTCAGGTGTATACCCACCTGCCCTCCGCATGCACCTCAAGTGCAGCAATGCAGCAGAAGAAGCAGCAAAAACAACAGCAACACCAAACACAAACTAAACCACCCAAAGCAGCAGCAGGACCAGCAGCACAAATGTCAACACCAGCAGCAACTGCAGCAAAAACAGCAGCAGCAGCACCAGAAGCAGCAGCAGCAGCAGCAGCAGCAGCAGCAGCAGCAGCACCTGTTTTTCCTGACAG